TTTTTCTAGAAGGGGTGAGTTGACAGGAGCAGCCATGGGAATGGACCAGCAGGGGGTGATGCGTTCATGAGACCCTCACTCATCACACCACAGAAAAAAATCAAGATTAATACCATGGGATTAAAACGTGCTCCGTTAATCTACCCTAGCAAGCACGGCAGAGGAGACAAGAAAGAAAAAACAGCCCGTGCTGTCAAGGAGCCTATAATCTGAGGCAAGTCAGGACACGGTGACCTTGTGTTATCATTTTTCACGAAGTCCCAAATGAATGGTACCAATATGAAGCTATGAGCTTGACCAAGGCAGAGTTCACGGCAGACTTGATGGGAATGGAAAGGCTTTGTAGGAGACTTAGGTCATGAGCTGGTCTGGGACAGACTGGGAGAGCTTCGTGTGGATAAAAGGGAGAGGAAAGAATATGAGGAAAGGCACGGGCATGGAAATCCTCAGGCCTGCTTCCGACGCAGGTACGGACAGACCGCACCATCAAGTTGGAAATGAAGGGAGAAGTATAGAAAGAAGGTCTTGTGTATTAATCTACGGGGCAGAGAGGTAAAATAAATAAGTAAATAAAGTTTTTTAAAAATGGGAGTGCCTGGGTGGCTCAGTCGGCTGAGTGTCTGACTCTTGGTTTTGGCTCAGGTCCAGATCTCAGGGTCATGAGATCAAGCCCTGTGTCGGGCTCCATGGCCACGGCTGGTGCCGAGTCCGTTTGAGATTCTCAGACTCTCCCTCTCCCTCTGCCCTTCCCCACCCCCTCCCCACTCATGCTTGCTCATGCTCTCTCTCTGTCTCTCTCAAATAAATAAATTAATTAAATAAAATTTAATCGAACGGGGGGAGAGGTTGTCTTTACTCTTTCCGCAAACAGAGGCTGGAGAGAGCCAGCAAGGGAGGCTTCGCAAGGGATTCTTGTCTTCAGTGGCAGGTTGGGCCGCTCATTCTTTCCCGTGGCCGGGCATCAGAGCCCCAGCCCGCCCCTGTACCCACCCCCTGCTATAAGCTTGTTAAAAATAGATCTTCTTTCTTAAAAAAGATTCCCCCACAACACTCAGGACCTATCCCCTGGGGATTTTGCTTCTGTACATCTGGGATGGGATCCAGAAATCCGTACCCTTCACCAGCTTTCCCACAGACAGAGCTGGTCTGAGACTCCACTAGGATGGGCAGTTTCTACCCAGAAATGGCACATTTCAAAAGTGGAATTTTTAAGTCACGTTCCTGAAAACTAGCTCCTGTTCGCACTCACTCTGCTTCTACTGCAAGTATGCCCCCCCCATTCACACACACACACACACACACACACACACACACACACAAAAGCACAGCCGCTCAGCGCTGGCTGGAATTCTTGCTCACATCGTCTCCACTTAATTACTGCGTATCATTTACAGCTCGTTCTCTCTCCCTCCCTCTCTCTCTCTCTCTCTCTCTCTCTCTCTCGATTGTTCCTTCCTTCCTGTTCCGGCTCCTGCTGCATTTGGCCAGACGTTCTCTCCCTTCACGCTCAGACTCTGCAGGATCCTCCCGGTTAATCTCATCCCCCTCAACCCTCCCCACACCGTCGTTGCATCCTCGCTGTCGCTGCAGGTCAGTCTCCCTGTCCGCATCACAAATGGCTCATTCATGCTCAGCCCCAACTGAATCCAGCTCCTTGGCCTGAACAAAGTTTGTAGAAGCTTATCGCAATATGGCCCAGCCTATTCTCCCTTGTGGCTTAAAGTCCTAACCAACCGGGACCATGACCGTGTTCCTTCTAAACATGCTTTGTACCTTCCTGCCCCCATTTTTTTTTCTCTGCTGTTCCCCCAGCTAACATTTCTACTACTGCCCTCTGGTCCAAAATGCTCTTGGCTTATGAAAATTCTGCCCATCCTTCAAGATCCGGTTCGAATTTTTATCTACTTTAAAAGGTCTGCCCTGTTTGGAAAACATAGAGAAAACTATACACACGCATAACACACACACGTGCACACCCACACTTTCTTCCCAGTTGTGTGCTCCGCAGTTTGCCAGCCTTGGAAAGTACAAATATGAATGGGTCCAACCACAGGCCGGTTCGGATGGGTGTGGCTTTCAACTCTGCTGGGAAGGGGCACCCTTTGTTGGAGGTGGGAACCAACACGATCAGCTCCTCCGTCCTGGGAAGAATTCATTCCCGTGACACGGGCTGTGCCCCGCCCCACGCAGCTCACACCCCCACGTTGGGGCGGTGACACATTGCATCAGGGAAGCCCGGGACCCTAAGGGGCCCTATCACCGTGCAGGTAACACCTCTGTTTCCTCGAAAAGGAGGAAACCCCCTTCTCCAAGGTAATCCAGGAACACTGTGTGGTATCGTGACTATGAACAAGCTATCATACAGGGCCCAGCATGAAGCCCACAGTGGGAACGGACACAGCTGTCTTCACTTGGGTCAAAGCAAATTGGTGGTGGCAGGAAGGCCAGGTTCAGGAAAGTCACAGAAGAGCCCCTTCCAATCTTCTCACTGTACATATGCGAGGCCGGCTGTCTTGCCTGGAGATCTGTGCCAGCTAATGGCAGAACTTTCATTATTTCTCTGACTCCCACTTCCTCCCGCAATAACCCCAGGGCACATGTCCCAACTTAGGCAGGCTTGGGTATGTTCCCATGGCTGTTTTTGTTTCGTTTCATTTTTTAATCAAGGACCTTACCGTGAAGCTAATAAATCTTAAGATTCAGATCACCTGCCTGGCACCAGCTCTGCATCTACTTTTACATTTGCAATTTTGTGAAGTTTTTTTCTTAATAATATTCTCTAAATCATATAAGATATAACCATTTCAAGCCCATAAAACGTGGGTCCACCCTGGCAGAGGAAATGTGTGATTTGGGAGGGGAAGGAATCACGTGGAAACAAAGCTAGAAGAAGAAACACAAATAGGAAAAGGACCAGGGGCAGTTCAGGAACACTCTCCCACAGTGAGTGCATCTACGATAGCCTTTCAGGGACTTATTCCAAAAGGCAAAGGGGTGCCATGAGCTCCAATGTGGCAATCTCCTATCCTTCGCCCACCCCCTCCCTACATTTGAGGGGCAACCTTCAAGAGCTGGGGGCATCTGAAAACAGCTGGGCTTAGCATCAGTAAGAAAAAGAAAATCAGGCTGGGGGAGCAGATTCTGGAGTGAATCTCCCCCTACCCCTGGGGAGATTCTACTTTTACACAGAGAGAAGAATGCATCGTGGCTGATCCCCATTGCGTAGCTTCGGGCCAGGCTCATGGAGACAAAGCAAAGAGCATGAGAAGACCCCCGCCTGCTAGACCCCAAAGCTAGACCCCAGTAGGGAGGTCTGGACCACGTGGGGCACAGGTTGCTTTTTAGGAAAGAGTCCCTCTTAGAGGAAACTCTGCAAGTTTGAAATGCGTCTTTGTGACCACATGGGGGCCCCATTCAAAGGCTCCTTCCATCCCGCTAGCCTGGCTTTGCCTCTTAAGGAGTTTTTCCAATTATTTATTTAATTTTTGCCTCGTTTTTGTTTAAAAGATTCTGTTCTTATTGCTACAAAATAAAAACGAGAATTGAAAAAAAAAATTAGAAGACGTATAAACAACGGCCCGTGGTCTCACTGTGCAAGAAGAAGGAAGCTAACTTGTGTCGCTCTGTAGGCTTCCCCACTCGCGCTGGTGTTTTTTCTTTTACACAAAACTGAGATCATTCTGGACAGACTTCTCCTCTTAAAATACCACGAACGCCTTCCCACAGCAAGTTCTTCACCTAAACAATTATAAATATGGTATTGTGTTCATTCCACTTAGAAATATTTGTGATAAATAATAAACACATTACGGAAAGTTCGAAGTGGCAGTCCACCGGGATTTACCGAACTACTTTCCTGTCGTTGGAAGAATTTATTCTCTTTCAAACCAAGGCAGACGTTGAGTTACAGCTGTCCAAATAAACAAATAAATACATGAAAAGCCCAAATTGCCTGGCAAAGACCTAAAGCCTCGGAGGCGACGTGGCGGATGCCCTGTGGGGGAAGGCACGGGTGTTCTGGGGCTGTCGCCGCGGCCACCCGGCCCGGCCCGGCTGGTCCCGGGAGCCGGAAAATTCCTTTTAGTAAGCGAGTCCCTCGGGGTGCGTAAGGTCGGGAGCGGGAGGCGGGCAGGAGGCCGGTCGACGTGGGGTCCAGGCTGTGCATCCGCGCACGCCCGGCCGGAGGCCGGTGGGTCGGGGCGGAGGGGTCGAGGGGTGAGGGGGTCTGTAGGCGCGTGGGTCTGGGGGGGAGGGGCAGGGGCCAGTGGGTGGGGCAGCGTTGCGGGAGGGCAGTGAGTCCGGGGGTCCAGAAACCTGTGGGCCGAACAGCATAGGTGGTGGTTCAGGGGGTCGGGAGGCTGGTGGGCGGCTGGCCTGTGGGTCGGACAGGGCGGGTGGGTCGGTGGACCTGTGGATCCAAGTGGGTCGGCGGGTAGGGAGGCCGGTGGACCTGTGGATCAGTGGGTCAGGGTGTCGGAGGGGTCGGCGGGCTCGTGGACTGGTGGATCGAGAAGTCAGGGAGTCGGGGGGGTGGGGGGGTCAGAGGTCGGGAGGTCGGCGGTCGGGGGTCGAGAGGCCGGGAGGTCGGGAGGTCGGGGCGGGGGGGTCTGTGGGTCCGGGATCGGGCGGTCGCGGATTCGGGAGGCCGGTGGGTGGCGGGGCCGGGAGATCCAGGGATCCGCGGGCCGGTGGACCGGCGGGTGGGTGGGTGGGTCGGCTGGCCGCGGGGCGGGGCGGGGCGGGGCGGACGCCGCGCCTGCCGTTCGCCTCTCCCGGCTGCAGGTGGGGCTGTGCGGCCGCGCTGCCTCCAGGAAGCCTCACGGGCCTGCGCCGGCTCCCAGGATGCAGTGTGGACCGGCCGGGCGCTGACGGCGGCGGCGTGTCTGCGGGCGGAGCGGCGCGGGCCGGCCAGCGAGGAGCGCGGCGACGCGGGCGGGGAAGGCAGGGCCGGGCGGGCGCCGCCTGCGGAGAGGCCGGGGGTCGGCCTGCGTGGAGCCGCGCGGCGGCGGCGGCGGCGGCAGCAGCGGCGGCGGCGGCGACTTCCTCCGGGCCGGGCCGGACAGCGCACGGCCATGGCCGAGGCGGCCGCGGCTCCGGTAAGGGCGGCCCGCGCGCACGGACGCGCGGACTCGGGGCCCGGGCCCAGCACTCGGCGCCGCGGGCCCTGGGGAGGGGTTCCGTGGGCCGGGCTGGGCCGCCGGGCCTGGGCTCCGGCGGGCGGAGCGCGGGGTCCGCCGGGGCCTACGGCGCCCGCCGGCCGGGCCCCCCATTCGCGGCCGAGCCGGAGCAGGGCGGACCCGGCCGACCCCGCAGCGGAGGCCGCCCCACGCCGAGTTCCTGCAGCCCTCCGCGGCTTCCTGCCCCCGCCCCATCCGCTGGCCCCTTCCTCTCCGCGCCCCCCACCCCGCGTCTCCTTTCTCTGCCCACCGCTCTGCCTCAGCGTTCCCTACCCCCCAGCTCCCCCCAGCGGCCTGGTGGCACCTGGGAGGTGTCCGAAGCGGCTTCGATTCCGCACACGCCGAGTGCCCAGCCCGATGGAGGTCGGGGCGGAAGACAGCTGCTCCTTCTCGTAGAAGCGGGCAGGCACCAGCCCTGTTAGGCATTATTTTGTCCTCACAACAAACCTGTGGGGTAGGTGCTCGTTCCGTCATACAAAGGAAAAACCCGAGGCCTGGAGAAGTTAACTTGCCTAGGATCGCCCAGCTAGAAAGTGTGTGAAAAGACACAGCTGGTCTGTATTCAGGGACACATTGTGTGTCGGGGGAAGCAGACAGGTACACTGGTGAGAATGGTGCAAAAAGAGTGAGTGAGTGGTTCTGGCATTGAGGCAGAAAGGTGCTGTGGGGGGGCAGGGGAAGGAGAGGGAGGCGCTGGCACCCCTTCACGGCCTGTGCTGCTGTGATTTGAGCTGGGCTTTTAAGGAAGGCTAGGATTTCATCAGGATGAGTGGACCGGTGCCGCTTTCCAGGTAGGGAGGACAGCTTGCGCTCAGAGAGAAGGCGGTGCCCAGCAGGTTCAAGGACCAGAATCCAGTCCCTGCTCCATGGAAGATGGTTTTGGTGAGGAGGCAGTGGGAGAGAAGGCTGCAGGGAGAGCTGGAAGGGCTTTTAATGCCTGGACTTCATCCTATGGGGGGGGGGGCGGTGGATCCTGGATGGATTTGGAGTTCTCCTACTATGGGTTCCTCGCAAGCATAGGGTTTCTGCTTCCCTGGCGGGAGTCCGAGGGCAGCCCCATATTACCCACCCACCATTTAGTATGGAGCTGGGCCTGCGCAGAAACAGTCACCACCTCCCACTAAATAGTGCAAGGCCCTAGGGCTCCCTGCGCCCGTTGAAATGGTAAGCACACTGTGTGTGCCTGATGTCTTATAAAAAGGGTTTATGGAGGTGTCCTTTTCCTGCAATGCAAAGGTTGCCGTCCTGTGGCAGTCAGGGGCACTCGGAGGCTGAATAGGATTTCAGTAGTTGGGGAGCTGGGTGACTTCTGGAGCAGGCTCTTGGAGGCTGGAGTCAGGTGGCAGGGACTGATCAGAAAGGACAAGTGGGCGAGGGAAGGGTAGCGGCTGCCATGGAGGGTGGCCCAGGGAGCCAGTCCAGTGCAGTCCCTGTGGCCTCGGGGCAGAGACACCTGCCTCCTGAGAGCAAGAGCCCCACCCACCACAGCCCTCTGCCCACCAGCTCCTCCCCAGCGAAACCCCTTCCTTCCTCAGGTCAGAGGTCACCTCGTGCGGTCTCATTCCAAACAACCACGGAAGCTCTGATGGGGCTCGACAGTGTTTTTGGCCTCTGCTCACACTCTCCTCTCACTCTTTTCCACCCTTGCTGTAGTTCTCCATGCCTTTCTCCAAATGAGCCCACACTGCTCCCTACTAGTCACTTCTTCATTTTACTATTGTTTGGGAATAGTTTCCAGAATGTTCTAAGGAGACATGTGTCCTCAGGCACAGCCAGAAGAAAGTGTAGATATCTGGATCTCCTCTCTGACCCAGAGGGCCCACCTTCACATGAGGGTGGGTCGGCCAGTTTGGCCCCTCCTCAAGGCAAAATGTGCCCTTTCCTCGCGGTCTCCCAACTGCCACCTCTCAGGTCACTCAGGCTACGTGTGAAGTTTCCAGCAACAAGGAAGTCGTACGCATTAAAGTCTAACCTTATGGCATATGTTTTACCTTCCTCACCACTCTGTAAGGTGTGTCCGTGCTCCCCAAGGAGCTACAGATGTCAGACTAGTTTTCCCCTTGGGAGCGGTGAGGACAGCGAGAGAAACAGAGTCTCAGAGGGCCCAGCGGACCCGTGTTGATTTTGTCCCCTTGACTCATGCCTGCCACGTGGGTCAAAAAGTCTAACTCTTGGCTGGCGGAGATTTGCAGTAATGGTGATTGTTAGTTTAAGGAAGAGTAACAGGAGGGGACAAAATCAGATGGCACTGGGGGGAGAAGGATTAGCTGTTTGATTTTTATGTTTATTAAAAAGAGACACGAGATGCTTAAAAACAAAACAAAACAAAAACAGTTGAGCAATGCTCATGTTTGTGCCGGTTCAGTGAACCAGCTGTTTTGTTTTGTTTTTTGTTTTTTGCTAGGTCATCGTCCGTACACAGTCCTGCGTGATTATGATGGGAGGTGTTGGCTGGGCGCTGGTGAATCTGCGGTTTACTATTTATCCGCCGAAACACCCCAGCAGTGCAAAGGCGCTGTTTATTTAGCAGAAGTGCACGGAGCACCTTCCACAGGCCACGCACTCTGCTGCAAAAGCTGGGTTCGGGGAGTCAGTTCGGGGAGATGTGGGAGGTCCCCAGTCCGGGCGAGCTGAGCCCCCCTGGCAGGAAGGCACCTGCCCAGATGGTGGCCGAGTCTGAGTTACCCCGAGAAGCCCATCCTAGGCTGAGATCAGGCTTGTGGCCCAGGGCATTCCCGCTTTTAATTTGAGCTCTGTGCCCCCCCCACCCCCCCCACCCCTCAGCTCCCCAGCACCCAGGGGAGAGGGGCTGAAGGAAGGCGGTGGATGGAATGAATGAGGGTACACTTCTCTTTGTTTCTGAAAGATTTCTCCATGGACGATGGCAGCCACAATTCAGGCCATGGAGAGGAAGATCGAATCGCAGGCTGCCCGCTTGCTTTCGCTAGAAGGTCGGACGGGGATGGCCGAGAAGAAGCTGGCGGACTGCGAGAAGACGGCCGTGGAGTTCGGGAACCAGCTGGAGGGCAAGTGGGCCGTGCTGGGGACCCTGCTGCAGGAGTACGGGCTGCTGCAGAGGCGGCTGGAGAACATGGAGAACCTGCTGAGAAACCGAAATTTCTGGATCCTGCGCCTGCCCCCGGGCAGCAAGGGGGAGGCCCCCAAGGTAGCCCTCGGGCCCCTGGGGTGGGACAGCCCGAGGGACTGTGCCCGTAAGCGTGTGGGTGAGCGTGCGTGACCCTTGTGGTTCCAGGTGCCCGTGACCTTTGATGACGTGGCCGTGTGTCTCTCTGAGCAGGACTGGGGAAAGCTGGACGAGCGGCAGAAGGAGCTCTACAAGCACGTGATGCGGGGCAACTGCGAGACGCTGGTGTCCCTGGGTAAGGCATGACACTCATTCTCCTGTTACGTGGGACTTTGGGAGCCCCCAGACCTACCCCTCCGTGCTGGTGGTTTTCGTCGCAACCACCGCAGACCATGTGTAAATCACTAGAAAACTCTGACCATGCAAGGAGTTTTCTTCTCCTCCTACTAAAGACGAGCACCAGGTGACCGAGTCGAAAACTCCCTCTACCTGGTGACATTCGTGGGTGGCCACACAGAAAGGGGTGGTGGCTTTTCTCTAACCAGGCATGGAGCGTGGACGTCTCTGTCCTGCCAAGACAGAGTCTAAAGCCTGGGCTGCTCTCATCATCAGTGGGCCTGCTCTGAAGCCTCGGGCTGCTCTCAGGCCCACATTCCTTTAGCCTTCTGTTACAGGGGTATGTGGCTTTTCTGGTGAGTTAGTGGTTAGTGGAGAATATGGGCAGACCATGCTTCTGGGCCAGCGCTGTCTTCATGCCTCAAGGCTCTGCTCCCTCAGACCCTTGGGGCCGTTGTCACTGTCTGTGTGCAGTGGCCCCAGGAGGCTGTTCCTCCCTGAGCTGCTTTCCTCTTGGGATGATTTCTGTGTGACCCCAGATCTGGAGGCGTAAGGCCTGCTCAGTGATGGTGGGAACAGGGGCAGGCGTGATGGTAAATTTCAGGTTAAAGAAACACACCACTTCTTAACTGGGAGACCCTACCAGAGTGTCTTCACCTGGGCACGGACTTTGGGGCCAGATGATTGGTTGTCGTGGGGCTATTCTGTGCCATGTGGGATGTTCCACAACATCCTGGCCTTGACTCACCAATGCCAGGAGCACCTCACCCCCAACCCCCAGTCATGACCATCAAAAATGTCTCCAGACTGCGAGATGTCTCCCAGGAGACAAAATTGCCCATGGTTGAGAACCAGTGCTCTGTACTAATCTAGACGTTTCGATTCTGGGCCACTCGTGGATTCCCAGGCTGCCTGTCACCAGCTCTGAATGGAACCACATGGCGAAAGCTAACCTTTATGTCCTTCCTCAGACTACGCCATCTCCAAGCCTGAGGTCCTCTCCCAGACCGAACCGGGGAAGGAGCCGTGCAGCTGGCGTCGCCCTGGCCCCAAGGTTCCAGATGTTCCTGTGGACCCAAGTCCAGGTGAGGGGCTGAGAGAAGGCCAGGGACACCAGGCAGGCCGGTGGAAACAGGAAAGTAGAGGGTCAGGGAGGGCATGACTTTTCCAGGAAGAGCTGAGGAGAAACCTCAGACTTGGAAGTTTTAAATCTAAGGTTTTTAATAGTTGAGTTATGACCTGTAGCCTGTGCCCCTAACGCTCTAGGAATACTTCCCAGCACGGAAGCAGGTAACAAACCTAGTCTTTTAGAAAAGAGACAGAGCCAGTACACACAGTCAGGGAAGGAGGGGGCAGGACACTCACAGGGAAGGTAGGAGTGGGTGGGAGACAAAATGTAATTCCTCCCAGTTCTATGAAGAGCCAGCCTCGCCCCCGACCAGGAGCCAGTCCCATTGGCTGGCCACACGTTTCAACACGATTAGGGCGACAGACTCATTTAAGGTGAATCTGGATACCTGGTATCACTGCTTCGGATTTTTCTGGAGCCAGCCAGCACCTCTGAAAGCTAAGGGAGGGACAGCGGATGCGTGAGAGAAGCCAGGAGGAGACCCCACCCCACGCCCACCCCTGCAGGCCCGAGCCTGCTTTCCGCACAAAACCGCCGTGTCTGTCCCACCTGCCTTAGGTTCCCCTGGCGTCCGAACACCGGTGTTGCTAAAGAGTCTCGCTGTGTTTCATTTGTGATTAATGACACGCGTCTCCCGGGTTCGCACCTGGGCCGCAAGTCGGGGTCCTGCTGCCGAGCAGCGCATGCGCAGAGCTGGCCACGCAGTCCACGCCCCGGAGCGCACTTACCAGGGGCGCTCACCTCCGCGGACGTCCTTTGAGACTTTGCTAGGTGCCGGGGACAGAGCTGGAAGTGGAGGACGGAAGGATGACTCAGCAGAGCGCTGCAGAGTCTGAATGGAGAAGAGGTCGCTGACGCGGAGCCCAGCCTCCGGGGCCTGGGAGGGAGGTCCACGGTGGGCTCCGTTCACTTGACCCACACCATCTCCGGGGAGGCCTCCGGTTCGCACGCTGTCATCCGACAGGGTGGAGAGGGGCCCAGAAATAACGGTGGCTGTTGGCGAGACCCCCACACACCCTCCCCTCCGACACAGACTCCACTTTCTGCCTCAAGCCCCACAGCAAGAGCCCCGTTACCCCTGCCCTAACCTCTGCGGGAGAAGTCGGACCCCAGGTCACTCCTCAAACAACCCCCGCCCCCCGGCTCGTGCCTCCCCCCCCCCCGGCAGACCTCCTCTCCGCTTCTTTTCAGTTCCTAAATTCTCCCTGCGTGCTTTGGGGAGCTCAGTCCCCAACAAGACCTCAGATGTGCAGGCTCTTCCCGGAGCGTCCCCACCCATCCTTGTCCACATGAGTCCTGGTTCTTTCCAGGGCCTGGCATCGGCTGCAGGGCACCCCTTTCCCACGTCCCTCCTAGTCCCGGCCTGGAAGCCAGCAGTGTCCCTGCTCCTCCATATGGCTTCCTGCTGGTCTCCCCTTCTCCCTGGAAACCCCCACCTTTCATTCCTGTCTTCCTGCCGCCTCCCGCAGACCGCATCTCTGCTCTTACCACTGTGGCTGGCAAGGGCAGCTTGCACAGAAGGTGCTCTATGCACTTGGAACACCCCAGCCTCCACTCCCTCACCACCCCGCCCCCGAGGTCATTCCCCCCTTGCTGACAGTGATGCACCCTTGCCTCCTCTCACTTTGAGCTCAGCCCCCCGGTGCCCTGACCCCAGCATCCAGCAGGACCATAATGCTGGTGAAATCCATCTCCCTGTCCTACACCTGCTCCCACGCAGCTGCACGTGGCTGAAGAGACCTCCCCACAGCTCTCATTTTCTTACCTGCAGTCCCAGGGGTGTCTCCTTGGTCCAATCAGCTGTGCAGAGGTTGGCAAACTGTGGCCCATGAGCTTAGAATGGTTTTCATGTTGAGCAAATACTGTTTAATTGGGAAAAAAAAAAAAGAAAGAAACGATATTCACAGCCTCCCCCCCCCACCAGCTTGTCTGTTGCACCCACGCACTATTCTCCGTGTTTGCCACCACGGTCAGACCTCCTGCCGAAGACACGCTCCACTGGGCGCTAGATCCGGTCCAGGCCACCTTAGCAAGGACTCATACCCCCCATCCTTCCCATCATCTGCCCCTGCCATCGCTTGATCGATTTGAACACTGACCCCTTGTGACCGCACACCCCTGTAGCAGCTGCCCCTTTTCTGCCCTCCTTGTGTCCCGCTCCCCAGGAGTGCCCTCCTTCAGTGCCTGCTTTCTCCCTTTCCTCTTCCACTCCAGAGGTCCTTCCATCAGCACCCCTGTCAGGGCCACAGGGGCCCCCATCGCATTAAAGGTCTGGTCTTAACCATTGGCAACATCATTTGCCACCGTTGATCGCTCTTTTCCCAGATTCACCGCTTTGACAGGATGCCTCCCCCTCCTCGTGTCCTCCTGGCTTACTTAACACCTTCCCTTTGCTATTTCCCAATGCTCTTTCTGGCCTCTAAGTGTCGGGGTGCCCTCCATCCTCTCTGTGTGGTGGGCTCTGCATGCCAACAGCTTCCACAGTGTGTCTCCTGCCGGTCTTCTCCCTGAAATCACACCTGCCTGCCGGGTCTGTCCCCACCCAGGTGGGATAGATGTCTTATGCCAAGCACGCGCCCAGCGGAGCTCCTCCTCCCCTCGTCCCCCACCCCCAGGTCTCCCCTGCTGTAGTAGACCACTGCCCACCCTCCAGCTGCAGGCGAGACCCAGGGGTCAGCCCCTACCCTTTCTCACACATACAGCCATCGGAGAGCCTAGTAGCGAGCACTCCCTTCAGACTCGTCCAGAATGCTGTCACACCCCGTCGCCTCTACCCTGCCACCCCCATCATTTCCTCTGGTCACCTCCCGATCATCCTCCCCTCTCCTGCTCTAATCACTCAGAGAAAGCCCTATGCCCTTTCCTTCAAAACCCCTTACCGGCTTCCCACTGATTCAGAGACTGGCTCATGCTTCTGTTTGTGTCTCGCTCCCCCTGTTCCCGCCATACCGTCCTCCCTGCTGCTTCCCCCAGTGCTCCGGGCTGCTCTAGTCCCCGAGCCTTTGCACTTGCCGTGCCCTTTGCCAGGAATGCCCTTCAGGTCCCCCCACCTCCCCCGGCTCCATCCATTACCTCCTTCAGAGCTCTGCTTATTTAACATTTAAGTCATCACCTTATTTAAAATTGTGTCCCCTATTCCCACCCAGAATTTCCAGTCTCCTTTCCCTGCTTTGGTTGGTTCCACAGCAGAGAGCATCATCTATTATGTGTATTTCTAGATTGTGACATATATTTCACATTTACAGAATCAATAGGGATACAGACAGTATGTATATTTCAGAGAGAAGAGATGATAGATTTCACATTTGTAGATTACTGTATGGCCAGCAGGCTCTCCCCAGGAGGGTGTAAATTTCAAGAGGACAAGCACTTTTATTTCTTTTGTTCATGTGATCATTCCAGGCACCTCGAACTGCCTAGCACTGAGTAGAAATTCAACAAATATTTGTCAAATGTATGTAGTTACGTAATTTAAAATATTTTTGTGTAAAAATATGTGTGGTAAATTCCTTGTTAGATTTCCTAGTCTCGCTCCTCCCCAGGGTAACCCGTAGTCCTGAAGTGGATGTTTACCTTCTCCGTCTGCCTTTTAAAACTTTCACTTAAAACTGCTAGGTCCGGGGCGCCTGGATGGCTCAGTGGGTTAAGCCGCTGCCTTCGGCTCAGGTTGTGATCTCGGGGTCCTGGGATCGAGTCCCGCATCGGGCTCTCTGCTCGGCAGGAAGCCTGCTTCCCTCTCTCTCTCTGCCTGCCTCTCCGTCTACTTGTGATCTCTCTCTGTCAAATAAATAAATAACATTTAAAAAAAAAAAAAAAAAAAAACTGCTAGGTCCACGTGTAGCCATAAGCAATATATAATATGGTTTTGTGTGTTTTGAGAAACAGTATCAATGTCAGTAGATTGACCACTCGGTACCACGTATTTCAGATCCGTCTCTCTTGATGCGGATAGATCAAGTTCATTCATTTAACAGATGCTTAGTATCCCCAAAGCAACTACGTTCCAGCTTGTTCTCCCCTGGTCTGTTGATACGCACTTCAGCTGTTTCTGGTTTCTCACTCTCACGTGGTGGTGCCGCAGTGGGCAGTCACCCCTGTCTGTCTGTGTCCGTGTGCTGCGGCCTCTCCAGGGAACAGGCCGGGGGACCCCCTGCACCGCCAGGCATGCTTGTCTGCACCTCCGCCATTGCCATGGTTACGCAGCTGGTCCTGCTCCCGTCAGCAGCCAGGAGTGCCCGTTGTCTCACATCCTTGCCCTCCTTCAGCAGTAGCTCCTCGCCGATCTGATGGAGGTTGGAATGGCATCATGTTTTAATTTGCCTTTCCCTGACTCTCAGTGAAGCGAAGCACCCTTTTCACGTGTATCTGGTTTCTTCAATGAATTGTCTTTTTCTGTTTTTCTACTGTTGCTTTTCACTCTCTTACTGATTCAGACTTATGTCTGTAGGTTCTGGACCCAAACACTTTGTCTGTTATTTGCATCACAAATATCTTCTCCCAGCCTGTGGCAGGTCTTTTAACTTTGTCATACCTGTCCAGAAGTTGTAATTTTGGGTACAATCAAACTTACCAGTGTTTTCCTTTATGATCTGCTTTTTCTATCTTAGGACAGCCTTCCCTACCGCACTGCAGGTCAGAAGGACATTCTTTTCCATCTTCTTACGAAACTTTTAAAGTTTTGCTTTGCACGTTGAAGTCTTTAATCTATCAAGAATTAATATTTGTGGGGTTCCTGGGTGGCTCAGTAGTCAAGCATCTGCCTTAGGCTCAGGTCATGATCTCAGGGTCCTGGGATCGAGCCCCGCATCGGACTCTCTGCTCAGCGGGAAGCCTGCTTCCCCCTCTCCCACTCCCTCTGCTTGTGTTCCCTCTCGTGCTGTGTCTGTCTCTGTCAAATAAATAAATAAAATTTTTTTTAAAAAAGATTTAATACTTGTGTAGGTTATGAGGGAGAAT